TGGTGTTTCTGGCAAAACACAGTTATATTTAAAAGTCGATTCAGGATTTAATGAATTGATATCGCTTTATTCAAGCTACTCACCTCCCACTTCCACCTGCACTTTCAACTGGACCACAGCCAATCAGAGAGGTCCCGCCCCTTACTATCTCTGATTGGTTTAGTCCACGATAGGGGCAAAATGTGTGTCTGTTGTTGCAGAGATTTATTTATTTTTTGTTACCCAAAGAGTTGGTCGCACAGGTGCAATCAAATATTGTTTTTTTTTAGTTGCACCACTGAAAAATTTGGTCGCATTTGCGACCAAATTGGTTGCACTCTAGAGCCCTGCTAATACAGGCCAGTACCAGTAACAATGATTTTATTTTTTATTTTTTTGCATTATTCCTTTGTCTTTTTTTTTGGGAATTACTGAAACTCCCACTTGGTCAGTCAGTGCCGTTTTATTGGTACAAAATGCTGTGTGTGTGTGTGTGTGTGTGTGTGTGTGTGCTGAAGGGCAGCAGGATGTTCAAACCACAGTAAAGTGGTCTTTGCAGACACAATTTCCACAGCTGGAACAAGTGGTTGCCGTTCTTCTGTGGGCGTACAGCCCACACCATTTCCTCATTATTTTTTATTTTTTTTATTTTTGGTGGGCTGTGGGTCATTCTCTGATTCAGACTGCTGTATCCCAGCAACAATAGCAGCTTTTGTGTCTGGGGTACAAGGCCATCTTGCAATTGCTGGAGTCACCAGCATGTGACCCAGCCCTTCCAGGAACACCCTTCATTGGTAGATCTTAGTGGACTCCCACTCCAGATGCACTGCACAGGACAAAGGTATTGTATGCTGAGACATCCAGGACATTGTAGAAGACAGCCAGCAGCCACAGTAGGTGGCAACAACCCTGTCTAGGTTATTCACGCCATCTTTGCACTTATTGTAGTCCAGGATTGCTACAGGCTTCCTCTTTTCCCCATCACTGGCTGCTGGTTCCTTGTGGTTTGTGTTTAAAAGAACCACATTCTTCCCTCGGTTAAGCATGTAGGACATTGCCATGGTTGTTTTGGTGAAGGCAAAGACAGATGACAGAATCTTCCGCTGTTGCAGCTGGAAAAGCTGGGAAGTTAGTCAAGTGCTTGAAGCAATGAATATGGCTGCAGCTTTGAACTTTGAAAAGTATCCTGAGAGATCTTTCTCTTTCTTTGTTTGTTTTAGAGAGTAGATATATTGGTGTGCTTTTTGTTTTTTTTGAAGGTGATTTAATCATGTGCGTCAAAACTAGTTTTCCCAGGAAGCTCAAAGAGTCACAATACGGCTGTGTGCAGGCAAGAGTAGGACCCAAACGCAAACTCGCAGAGACAAAAAGTAAACTCAAAAAACACAGCTTTATTGCTGGCGTGGAGTGGGACACAAAAAAACAATACAAAACTAAACTGGGAAAAAAATCACACAGCTATGAGGGAGGACGCAACACTGACAAAGAGAAACATGGGGCTTAAATACACTGAGGGATAACGAGGGGGAATGAGCCACAGGAGGAGAGCACAGCTGGGAGTAATTAGGCAGGAGGAGACAAGGGAAGCAAAACTAGAAACATTAACATAGGACAGACTTTGAAAGTAAAACAGGAAACACACTGACGGGACTCAAGACATGTGAACTTAACAGACTGGGGAGACCGAACATAGGGACCTGAAACATGGAACAGAAATGCACAGTAGATCAACATGAACATAACAACGCCACAGGGGAAGAGTGAAACAAAATGCAGGAACACAGGACCTCTTTCAAAATAAAATGGGAAACAAAGAAATGCAAACATGACAACATAAGAAACACAGACATGAAGCACATGAAGGACAAGGGAGACTTAACAGGGGTTGGATACACAAGGGGAATCTAATAAACAAATGAACTTAGATAACCTAATGAAC